TCTGCCATGATTTTTTTTAAAAATCTATCTTATTTATTAAAATTGTATGTGTGGGAGTTGGCTCAGCAGCTAAAAGAACATGTTGCTCTTGTAGAAGACCTGGGCCCAGGTCCCAGCCACTCCATGATGTCTCACAACTGTCCTCTAACTCCAGTTCTGGAATCCAGTGCCCTCTTCTGACCTCTGCGGGTACCACATGAGTGGTGCTGAGGCATACATGCAGGCAGAACATCCATACACACATTTTTTTTTTTAAAAAAGAAGAACTCAGAGAGGCCGGACATGGTGGCACATGCCTTTAACTGGAATGGTGGATCTCTGCATTTGAGGCCATCACAAACTATATAGTGAGTTCCAAGCTCTCCAGGGCTATAAAGTGATACTGTCTTAGAAGAAGGAAGAGGAGGAGAAAGAAGAAAAAAAGAGAAGAAAGAAGAGGAGGAGGAAGAGGAGAAATCTCAAATAATTTAATGATGTATTTTAGAGCTCTGAAAAAAGAACAAGCCAAATTCCAAATCACTAGATGAAAGGTAATCACAGGACCAGGAAATGGCTCAGCACTTAGGAGTGCATACTGCCCTGAACTGAGTTCAGTACCCATCAACCTGGCAGGGCAGCTCACAACCACCTGTAATTCCAGTTCCAAGGTATCTAATGCCCTCTTCTGGCTTCTTTCAGCATCTGTACTCACATGCAACTCCTGCCCCACATTAATACACACATACAAATAAGTGCTCTCAACTGTTTAGTGGTCTTTCTCCAGCCCCACCCCCGTTTTTTTTTAAATTCTTGATTTCTTCAAGGACTCATTCAGTAGCGGATTGTTTAATCTCCCTTAGTTTGTGTATATTCTAGAGTTTCTTGTTCCGTTGTGATCAGTGAATACAAGCAATTACTTCACCTTCCCTACATTGTTTAGAGACAGTTGCATAGGCTGCTGAGGAGAATGTCTACTCTACAGTGTTTGAATGTTCTATAGAGGTCTGTCAAGTCCGTTTTATCTTGATGTTATTTAGGTCGGGTATTTCTCTATTAATTTATCTTGTCAAGATGGCCTTTCAGTTGGTGTGAGAAGAGTATATAATTCACCCACTAGTCCTGGGGCTAGTCTGTGACTTACATTAATAGTGTTTGTTTAATCGGGTGCGCCTGTGGGGCATGTGTTTAGGACTGTAAAGTGCTTCTGACGGCCTCTAATCAGTAAGAAGTGACCTTTCTTACTTCTCCCATTAACTCTGGTTTGAAGTCTATTCTGTGAGGTGTTAGGACAGAAACCCCTGCTGGCTTCCTAGAAACATTTGGAACGCCCTTTCTATACTCTCACTGTGAAGTAACGTCCATCTCCTATGACGAGGTGAGTTTCTCAGAGGCAACAAATAGAGGGTTCCTATTTTCAGATCCGATCTACTGTCTGAATGTTTGATACTTAGAGTTGTTACTGAAAGCTGTGTGTTGATGTCTGTCATTTGGCTGAGTTTGCAATGCTTGGGTTTTCCTACTCTTCTCTGACTTTTAATTACTACTATACCATGGTTTACTATTTCTTTGAAAAACTTATTTTCATGTGTATGAGTGCTTTGTCTACATGTATGCATTTGCATCACATGTATGCCTGGTGCCCTCTGAGGTCAGAAGAGGGTCAGATCCCTGGAACTGGAGTTATGGATGGTTGTGAGCCACCATGTGGGTTCTGGGAACCAAAACCAGGTCCTCTGCAAGAACTAGTGCTTTTAACTGCTGAGCCATCTCTCCAGCCCTAGTTTATCCTTTCTTGCAGTCTTGGGATGAATCCCCCTTCCCCCAGACTAAGAATTCCTTCAGCTATTTTTGTAATGGCTTAGTGATCATAAAGTCCTTTACCCCCCCCCCCTTTTTTTTTTTAAATCAGGGAAAGTTTTTGTTTTTTCTTCAATTATGACAAATTGTTGAGTATAGCTAGGTATATTGTGGATTATCGGTTCTTGTCTTTCAGAACTTAAAATACATCCTTCCAGGCCTTCCTGTGTTCTCAAGTTTGAGTATTAACTTGTTGCTAACAGCCTTATCTGAGAAAGAAACGCATTCTGCGTCTAAGCATGCTCTGGCCCTTGACACACTGAGTCAGGGGGAAAGATCTACACAACACAAGTTTCGGCCTCAGGCATCCGGGAATGTGCAGTTTCTTCAGACACGTGGGCTTGCGAGTTCCCATGTTTTTCTATCCCTACTTCCTTGTCCTTTTTGCTTTGTTCTCCCGGGTGATCTTCTAAGCAAAACATCTGTTCCTTGTAAACATGGTTTAATGATTTTCTTTTCCTTTTTCTTCTGTTTGCATTATGATTATCTTTGCATATAGTTATTCTTAATAAAAACTCGATGTAAGAGGCACTCTGGATCCTTAGAGCTTCTTGCATGCTCTCTTTGGTCCCCAGCCCTTCTGTGAAAGTTCACACTGCAGACTCCAAGTCTGATTTCATGGACAGAACTCCAGTATCTATGGCAGTAGTCTGCTGATAACTTGGAAATGATGATGGGCTTGCTTTTGTATGTGTTTTGGTACTTCTATCTTGCTGCTTTCAATAAACTTTCTTTGTACTGTATGTTTAATGTTTTAATATGATGATGGGGGTTCTTTTTGGGGGAGGGAGGTCTTGATGGTTTGGTGTTCTAAATGCCTTCTGTATCTGGATTGATGTCTCTTTCTTTAACTCTGAGAAGTTTTGTCATGATTCTTTTGAAAATGTGTTTAGTGCCCTGAGAACGAGATTCTTCTCCTTCTTCTATTTAGTCTTTTCAGTGTTTTGTGTATCTTGGAATTCCTACTCATACCGTCTTATTATTTTATCTTTGATCTTGTTGGACCTGATCTTGTTTTCAAGTTCAGATATTTTGTCCTCTCTTTGATCTACCCTGCTGTTGAGACTTCCCACAGAGCGTTCTGGGGGCTTGTGTAATGTCTTGGTTTGCTATGTATTGCTGTGATAAGGACAGTGACCAAAAGCAACTCGTGAAGGAAAGGGTTTGAATACTTGGCTTACAGGTTACAGGTCAGCATGAAGGGAAGTCAGGGGAGGAGCGCAAGCCACGCACCTGGAGGCAGGAACTGAAGCAGGGACCGTGGTGGGATGCTTGCTGCTTGCTCTCCATAGCTTCCTCAGCCTGCTTTCTTCTTTCTTTTGGTTTGGTTTGTTTTCCAAGACAGGGTTTCTCTGTGTAGCTTTGCGCCTTTCCTGGATCTCACTTTGTAGACCAGGCTGGCCTCGAACTCAGAGATCTGCCTGCCTCTGCCTCCTGAGTGCTGGGATTAAAGGAATGTGTCCCCATAACCCTGCTCAGCCTGCTTTCTTACACAATTCAGGGCTACCTACCCCTGCAGAAACATGGCCCCCAGTGGGTTGGACCCTCCCACAACAATCATTAGTCCAGAAAATGCCAGTCAGAGCTGATGGAGATATTTTTCCTTTGAAGTTTTTCTTCCCAGATGACCCCAGCTGACAGAAACTAGCGCTAATCTTTTTTTATTTAATTTTCTTCACAGAGCTTTTTATTTGGCTTATCTTTTTACCTCCAACACTTTGGGTTTTTTTCAGTATTTCTTTTTATTGAATTCCTATTTGATAACTTGCACCACTTTATTTCATTAACTTTTGTTTCCAATTGGGAGCTTATTTTCTTACTTTAAAAAATTTTTTTTAGTGTGTGTGTGTGTGTGTGTGTGTGTGATAATGGATGTATATGAGTGCAAGCGTGTGCACAGCATAGCATGTGGAAGTCAGAGTATAACTTTCAAGAATTAATTCTATATTTTTTGCTATATATCCAACTCAGGTCATCACGCTTGTGCGGCAAACGTTTTTATGTGCCTAACCTCGCTGGACCCACGTGAGCCTATTTTCTTCTCTGATTTCTTTGAAGAGTGTGCTCAGAGAATACCATTACTGGGTACCGTTACTGTAGGATTAGTAAGTTTGGGGTGAGTGATGTTGCTTTTGTTTTTCATGTTTGTTATGCGACTACATTTTGTGTTTCTTTCTCCAGGGTTATTTTGTTGCTTTTTGAAAATCAGCTGTATCCTTTCAGTTGAGAGGGTCTTAGATGTGGTAGAAATCAGAAATCAGTTCCTCAGTCCAGCAGCTCAGGGTTGCCTGGTGTCATCTCTATGTTACTCTCTGAGGAGAATAGTAATTGGGACAGCAACCATGGCTGAAGAATACCACCACTGTGCAAGAGTACTAGCTAACTAACAGCGATAGCCCATGTGATTTCCGTAACTATTGGAGGATAAGTAACCAAGGACAGTACAGAATATAATGGTATTTTAATTAATAAGATTAGGAGTAGGAGGAATATATGGTGAGTGAGGATGGGGTATATATTAGATTTGTTTTTGTTTGTTTGTTTTGTTTTCGAGACAGGGTTTCTCTGTGCAACAGCTCTGGCTGTCCTGGAACTCGCTTTGTAGACTAGGCTGGCTTTGAACTCACAGAGATCCGCCAGCCTCTGCCTCCCGAGTGCTGGGATTAAAGGCGTGCGCCACCACTGCCAGCTTAGATTGATTTTTGAAAAGAAACAAAAAATTGAGGAAGTAAGGTATGGGGTGTAGGGATGCTGTTAGAGTCCACAGATTCTAGGGACTGTTAAAGCTATAGAAAGTTACAGTTAAAAAGTAAAAGCTAAGAAAGGATAAGACGAGAAGAGGAACAGACATAGAAATAAGAAAGTGTATGAGCTGTGGATGGAAAGTATAGTAAAAGCACTCAGGAGGCAAAGGCAGGCAGATCCTATGAGTTTGAGGCTGACCTGGTCAACATAGCAAGTTCCAGGACAGCCAGGGCTGGGTGAAGAGACCCTGTCGGGGGAAAATGTTTAGTAAAGAATGACTTATAGGAGACCGGGTGGAGAAACATACAGAATAATGTTAAAATCTAACTGAGCAATATACAAACTAAAGACAAACCATTAGGACACATACATGCAAGAGTGGAGATTAAATATTAGGAAGTAAGGAATAAACAGCATACTCATCTGCGCTGAGTCAGGAGATGGCCTTCTCGGATTCCTCCTGTTCCTGCAGACTCCAGCGTCATGTGTGGGAGCGCTGAGTGGGAGCCATTTGTCTCTGCAGCCTGTGTTCTGGCAGTTCCCTTGACCCTGCATCCTCTTGAGGTCTGCTCTGGTCCTGCAGGTCCAGGGTTTGTGAGGAGGAGCAGCACTTCCCTTAAAGTTCCTTTTTCTTTTTGAAGCTCACAAACAATTTTATTAGAGTTTAAAAGAAAAACCGCAGAGTAGTCAAACCTTAAATATCTGAAGTTTCCCAGAGGAAGGAGATGGAGAAGACAGAGAGCCATGGCCCTTTGAGTTAGGCATGGAAGTTTGACCAGCAGGCAGCCACATCACAGGAAGCAGCCACAGGGCAAAAAGTGGGGTCGTGGGGCGTTAGAGCCAAAGTGAGGAAGTTCAAAGTGTTAGGAAAAGCACGCTTAGAAAAACAGACAGACAAAAAGAAAAGGGTATAATTCTCTGAGTAACTGAGAGCGTCAGGCAGGCTTACAAAGCTGCCTGGCTGTGGTTCTGGAAGCATTTCAAAGAGGGCTGCTATTCTGAGACAGAAAAGTATCTTACCTCACTAAAGGTGAATGGTGGTTTGCATGAGAATGGCCCCCATAGTCTCCTAAATTTGAATGCCTGGTCTCCAGCTGGTGGAACTGGTAAGGATTAGGAGGTGTGGCCTTATTGGAAGGGGTGTCACTGGGCTTTGAGGTTTCAAAAGTCACACCAGTCCAGGTAGTTCTCTCGTGGTTGTGGTTTGTGGTGAGCTTTCGCTGCTGCTCCAGCCCCATGCCTACCTGCTTACTGCCTTGCTCCTCCTCACCATGTTGGTCATGGACTCTGAAATGTTAAGTAAAGCCCCAGTTAAATGCTTTATAAGTTGCCTTGGTCATATTGTTTCATGACAATAGAAAAGTAACTTGGGGCTGGAGAGATGGCTCAGTGGTTAAGAGCACTGACTGCTCTTCCAGAGGACCCAGGTTCAATGTCCAGCACCCACATGGCAGGTTCACAACTGTCTGTAACTCCAGTTCCAGGGGATCGGACACCCATGGCAAAACACCGATGCACATAAAAATAATAAAAATATTAATTAAAAAAAAAGAAAAGTAACTAAGACACCTCCCATCTCTTTATCAGGTGAACCTACCTTCCTGAGTGGTTGTGCACTGGTCAGGTGACTGACCTGTCCAACTTAATTAACTTTTCGTTTTGTTTTATTTCGAGACAAGGTTTCACTGTGGAGCTCTGGCTAACTCATTCTGTAAACCAGGCTGGTCTCGAACTCAGAGATCAGCTTGTCTCTGCCTCCCAAGAGCTGGGATTAAAGGCATGTGCCATTGTGCTCACTAGAATTAACTCTTAAGGGAGGAGACAATGTCTCCACCCAGAAATAGATTCCAATCATTTGGCTAGGAGGTAATAGCTTCCCCTTAATGAACCTTCAATATAACTACATTTCTCCCCCTCTGAAGAGCTAACTCTAAAATCATTTAGGAGATGGGATGAAACTGGGAAATAAATATACACCCACCCAATCCCACAGCTCTACTGCTGTCTTCCAGACAGCTTGACTTGGCCAGTACAATGTCAGTCCAGAGGGCTCCAACATGGGGTCTAATTCTCAGTTCTTCCACGCGCTTTCCTGTAGGGATCTCCCTTAGCTTACTAAATCCCCACAGCCAGGTCTTTGATGAGATCACAGGCCATCAGATGGAACTCTGGGGCACTCATTTCCACTGAAACGCATCTGGGCTCTGCACCAGGCCTCTGAAGCCTTTGTACCACTCTGTCCTGTGAACGCATTTTGGGGTGATCCCTGTATTTAGTTTACTGGGCTGTGAGCTAGCCTTAAACCGTGGCTTGGTGAGATGGCTAACCTCGATTGTTAGCTTGACGAACATGCTTACGGAGGATTGTTTATCTTGGCTGAGATGGCAAAACACACCCACCGTGGGAGGCACCATTCCCTTGGGAGTCTTGGAATGTTTAAAAAGAAGAAGTGAGCTGAGCACAGGCATTCGTGATCTCTGCTTCCTGACTGTGAGTGCGATGAGACCCACTGCTTCAAACTCTTGCCCCTTTGGCTTTTCCACCATAGCGGACAGTGACCTGGAACTGTGGCCTGAGTCAACTCTGAAGCCACTCTTGTCGAGATATTTTATCACAGCAAAAGGAAAATAACTAAGAAAATCTGTACAGATGAGAGGGGCTTCTGTTGCTGTGATAAACCCGACCTTTGGAAGTGATTTGTGGGGGAAGTATAGAAGAGTTTGAAACTTTGGGCCAGAAAAGCTCTTGAATGCTGTAAGCAGAGCTTAATGAGCATTCTAGTATGAGCTTGGAAGGCAAGGATGCCAAGGGAACTGGCATCTTTGGACTGTAGAAGCTCAGCTGATGCAGTTTCAGAGGTGAACAAGGACTATCAAACTGGAGTAGGGGCTATTCATGTGACATTTTCACTAAGAATCTAGCTTTATTCTGCCCACATCCTGAGAATTAGAGTGAAGGGGAATTTAAAGGCAATGGATTAATTTGTTAGGAAGAGGGAATTTCAAGACAGGAGAGCATTCAAGCTGGTTCAGAGAAAACAGATTTAACTGTTAAAAAGGTCAGCACCAGCTGGGTGATGGTGGCGCACGCCTTTAATCCCAGCACTCGGGAGGCAGAGGCAGGGGAATCTCTGTGAGTTCGAGGCCAGCCTGGTCTACAAAGTGAGTTCCAGGAAAGGCGCAAAACTACACAGAGAAACCCTGTCTCGAAAAACCAAAAAAAAAAAAAAGGTCAGCACCACTGAAGAGAAACCTCCAGCACTGTACTGAGACAGTGAGAAAGTTGTTTTGAGGTAATCCCCCTATCTATCTTGTCAAGATCCAAATTTGTTTGAAGGTGAATTTGTAGAGGGGCCCCAAAACAGCTTGACCACACAGCTGCCATGACAGGCTTGGAGGCCCAGACACAGCTTCTGTGGCAGGCTTACTGGCAGGCAACATCTGGACCCAGAAAATCCCATAAACTGACCTCACCCAGGGAGGGCCTACATCTAAGGGGAAGTACCTGACATTCCAAACATTCCAATCATTAGATGAGGCCACCAGATGTCCCAGAGTCTAGCACACCCCTATTTTGTTTTACAGATACCTCAAGACAAATGTTAGCCAATCAGGGTCCTGAACCCTGGAAATATCCTCACCCCAACCACTGCTATGATAAAAACTCTACCCCGCCTGAGCTCAGGGCTGTCAGCTCTCACCGCTGGGTCGAATAGACAGAGGGACCAAGTTCGGAGCTTGAAAAAATAAAGGCTCTTTGCTTTTACATATGGGATTCTGTCTCCGTGGTGGTCTTTTGGGGGTCCCCCCTATTTGGGCATAACAAATGAACTGAAGGGATTCCTGGCTCCTCAAAAGTACCGCCTGCCTAGGAAAGTGCCCCAGGGTCAGCATACAAAAGCTGACACCGCTGTGTTCCAAGGGGATTGGCTGCAGTTTGAGCTCACATAGAACTTGGGAGCGTTGTCCAGATAATACTGGTTTTTTAGTCATGAAAGCAGAGGTAGGTAGATGCCTGAGTTTGAGGTCACCCTGGTCTACATATTGAGTTCTAGGACAGCCAGGGCTGGTACACAAAGAAACCCTACCAAAAAAAAAAAAAAGAACAAAACAGGCTATATGTGTCACAGGCAGCACAACTAGAGAAGTGTTGCTACCTAAATCCTTTGGTGCCCAGAAAATTATATCATGAGCTCCAGATGCCAGGCATGGAGCCAGCTACAGGATTTGGTGTTTAAACTATGAATTTTAGTGTTGCTCTAGCCTGACCATTCCTTACCATGCTCTATTCCTTCCAGTTTGGGAAGAGAAGGTTTGTTCTGTGCCATTGTATGTTGCTTTATAGAATTTAACAGTTAAGAGGTTGCCTTGAGTCTCAGATGAGATGTGAGCTTTGGACTTTTCAGCTGTTGAGATTGTTAAAGACTATGGGGACTTTTGAAGTTGTTTTGTGTCTTGCATTATGAGATGAGCATGAGATCTGGGAACAAAGAGTGAAGGCTATGATTTAAATGATACACTTTGGTGTCAAGTTGACAAGGGGTGGGATTTGGATGGTTAATCTCAATTGTCAACTTCATGAGATCTAGAATCACTTGACAGACAGGCCTCTGAGTATCCTATGGGGGACTGTCTCGATTAGGTTGAGGTGGGAAGACTCGCCCACTGTGGGTGGCATCATTCCCTGGGTGGGGTCCTGGAATGTATAGCAAGGGAAAAGTGAACCAAGAACAAGTACTCACTGCTCTGTGTTTCGTGACTGTGGATGTCATGTGACCAGCTGCTTCAAGCTCCTGTACCTTGACTCCCATGCCATGATGGACTGTATCACAATAAACCCCTTGACCGTTATGCTGCTTTCGTTAGGGAATCTGTCACAGCGGCAGACCGTGACTAACACAGTAAGTAGGCTATGCACACCAAGGCTACCCTGCACCAGGATCTTTATTACAGTAGGACAGGCTCTGAGGGAGGTGGAGATGGAGGTGGTGTGGCAGGCTGAGAGGAAGGACCTGAGGGAGGCTCAGAGTGAGACGGTGATAAGGAACTGTCTAGGAGAGCTTGCCCTTGGCGGAATTTTCTGTTAGTGGAGGACACAGTGCTGGTGAAGCTCAGGAAGATGTCCTCCAGAGAGACCTGGTTGATGGAGTAGTCTTCCAACATATAATCCTTCTTGGCTTGTTCCATAATGCCAAATACCTGTAGAAGAAGGAAGCCAGTTGCTGTAGATAAGTCTGCCCGTAGGTGATGTGGCAGACATAGGGACAGGTGATTTGGGAAAGTGCAGAGAGGGCCACCCTCTGAAAGCCTGTGACAAGGCACCAAGTGCTGGTCTTGCTCAGCTACTACAGAGTACCTCCAAAGGAGTCAAACCTGTGGAACTGGCCATCTGCTCTTGGGATAGGAGTGGTGGCAGGAAGGAGGTTTCCCGCTGTGTCTCTACCTGCTATGTGACGGTGGGCATGAGGCCCCTCTCCAGACCTGCTCCCTGCTCTCTGAAATCTGGGGGTAGGAAGAGCTGACTTCTGAGGCTCCTTCCAACTCCTACCTTATGCTCTATGACTTCTGCTCAAACATTTCCACGGTGTTGGCAGAGGACATGTGAATGCCACTTCTAGTGAGCAGGTGAAATGAGAGGCACACTCACCTTTGCCCAGCTGAGGTTGTGGCCAGGCAGGTAGTACTGGACCATGCCCCGGTGCTCATCTTCCAGACTGCTGCCTGTACAAAACAGAGACTGTTTCTGTGAAGGCTGGACTGGAGGGCTAGAAAGGGCAGCCTGAGTGCCCAGAATCCCTAGACAGACTATGTGACAGCTAACAGGTCCGGCAAAACATCCAGCACCATCACACACCTGGGAAAGTCAGGTCCACAAATGCCTTAAACTTCGTTAGCGCCTCCTGTTGCCATTCCCTCTGGACCTTGGCCTGCAGAGAGTAGCCGCTGCCAAACTTGCTCTTGAGGTGTTGTGGGCTGCCCAGGCACTTGAACTGGCCCTGAACCATGATGGCCAGCCGGGTACATAAGGCTTCACACTCCTCCATACTGGGGAAAAGGAGAAAGCCTGAGATGGTGCTGGAGGAGGCTGATGCTCACCCTGAATGTCAAAGGCTTGTGCAGACAGGAGGGTATCTATGCCCAGACCAGGCCATTCCTGATTCCCCAAGCTGGATGTACCCACATGCAGAGCCTGGGAAATGTCCTGGCAGACCCTGCACTAGCTGCTGCCGTATCTTCTGCTCACCTGGTCCCACCCCAGCCACCCGTTCCGGCTTTGCCCCTGACCCACAGATGCCCAAGCTCTACCTGTGGGAGGTGATGACAATGGCCTTGCCAGACTCACGGGCCTGGGCCACAGTGTCCCACAGCAGGCGCCGGGCCACAGGGTCCATGCCAGTGGATGGTTCATCTAGGAAGATGACTGCAGGCTCTCCGATGAGGGCAATGCCAGTGCTCAGCATGCGTTTGTTACCGCCACTGGAGGTGGATGGGTGACAGGTGGGGACATGGAGAATGGTAATTGTAGTCTCCAGTGTTGAAGTCCACTTGTTCAGCACCCAACTCTTTCCTTTTCTGAGGTGATTCTACTCTGGCGGGGCTTTCAAAGACAGCCCCATCGTCTTCACTCAGGTTGACCTTCACTGAGGGTCTAGATGGACCTAGATGTCCAGGTCGAGCATGTGGTCATGGGACTTTTCAAGGGTCTCTATGAGTGCTGGGGGTAGGGCACTACCCATCTGAGAGTAAGGGTATAGGGTCATTTTAGTTAACTGTTTTTCTTAAGACACTCACTATGCAGTCCCAGCTGGCCTCAACTTCCCCTTTCTCCTGACTCAGTCTCTCAAGAAGCACTGGGACTACAGGTGCACACCACCATACTGACTTTATTTATTTTTCTTAATTTTTAAAATTTATGTATATGTGTGTGTGCCTGCATGCAGGTACCCATGATGGCCAGAGGGCAACAGATCCTCTAGAACTGGAGTTACAAGTGATTCTGAGCTGCTTTGTGGGTGCTGGGAACTAAACCAGGGTCCTCTGCAAGAGCAGTGAGCACTCTGAACTGCTGAGTCATCTTTGCAGCACCCCTCCCCACACACATTAAACTCACATAGCATTTACTGTGTGCAAAGCTCCAGTCTAAACCTTTTTTTTTTTTCAAGACAGGACTTCTCTGTGTAGCCTTGGCTGTCCTGGAACTCACTCTGAAGACCAGGCTGGCCTGGAACTCACAGAGATCCACCTGTGTCTGCCTCCTGAGTGCTGGTATTAAAGGCATGTATCACCACTGCCTGGCTTCTAAACTTTTTAAATGTAAATTTGGTTGATCTTCAGAATATGCAAGGGGTTATGAAAAGCTGCGCAAGACTCAAGCCAACAGACTGAAGAAGGGGCAGGGACTCTTTATCTGACACCTTGGGTCCATCTGGCCAGTCAGAGGCATCTCTCCACTGTCCAGTTCCAAACACGGAGTACTGCCAGACGCCTGCCCACAGGTGTACAACTGAGGGGAGGAGAGACTGTGAATGTGGACGGTCAGTGCCTTGCTTTGATTAAGTTAATCTGAGTTAGGGTTCTGTTACTGGCAACGGTGATAAACCACCTCAGACTTCTTGGAAGGCATATCAGGATGAGGCAACTATGGGTCTAATAGGAAAACCTACCAAAAATAGGAAGCTTGACATGAAGTAGCAGACACAAAGATCTGCCTACCCTGTTGTTACAATCGCACATGATAACATACACCTGTTCTCAGCACAAAAACTGCCTCTGGCTTGGGACAGAGGCCAGTTTCCCCCAACCCCCATTTTCAGTGGCGTGGACTGCACAGCTCCTCAGTGCCTGAGCCCATGGGCTTTACTCTACACTCCAGTACTGAGAAATGGGATTATCTTGCAAATGGAGGTGGGAGGGGTGGGGAAATCCCCAGATCTCACCTATAGGTCTTGACCAGCTTGTCTGCATACACACGCATGAGTAAGTCCTCAAGAATCTGGTCTACATAGGTTTTAATGTGGCACTCAGGGATGCCCCGGATACGGGCATACATGGCAAGTATCTCTCTTCCTGTCATGAAGTTTAGCAGGGCATCAAATTCAGGACAGTAACCAATCCACTGCCGCACCTGAGGGAGGGAGGGAGGGAGACACATCAAAGTGAAGCCTCTTCTGGCTAGTTTCCCCACGGCAACAACTCAGCAGTTTCAGGACACTCCCTTGCCCTGGTGTATCACTTCAGCTCTTGTTAATATCCATGTCTGCTCTAGGAACAGACACACAGCAGGAGGGAGCCATGAGTGGGATGATGGCAATGCTGCTGTAGCCTTTGCTGGTAGTGTTGGTGAACAGGCTTCTAAAGGATGGAGGAGGAGGGGTGCAGCTTAGTTCCTCCTCCTGTCCATATGTCCTGAAAACAGAAGCACTCAGTGCCCTCAGTATTAGGAGTCAGGAGAAGCATCTTGGTTTTTACTTTTCCTCTTTTTTCTTCTTCTTCTTATTACTATTATTATTATATGATGTGTGTATGTGTAGAGGGAGGAATGGGTGCAAGAATGCCCGGGTTCATAACCGGAGACCAGAGGACAACTCTGTGGAGTTGGTTCTCTCCTTATACATTTAGATGGGTTTCAGAGAGGGAACTCAGGCTTTTGCAGCATGCCTTTACCCACTGACCCATCTCATTGGCCCTTTCATTTCCTCTTTAGAAATATTTTCTATTAGACATGTAATCTATAAGTAGATTTTCTTCATGAAACATTTACATAAAGACCACTGGAGTCTCTGCCAGGGTCTGTGGTCTGGTTGGTATGTATCCTCCAGACTTCTATGCTAATACAGAGTCCCACTCAGACATGCCCTCCTACAACAAGGCTGTTTGTATGAAGTTTGTCAAATGACATCATCCCATATTTACCATTGCTAATGTGCCTTTCTGACTGAATATCACATTCTATAGATCTTATGTTGCTGCATACAGCCCACTCCCAGCTTAGCTGCCATACACCCAGAGGTTTTTAAAATATTCTTTTAAGATTAATTAAATTTGTTCTTTGTTAATTCCATGTGCTATATAATGCATTCTAATTACTCTCATCTCTTTCCTACAAATACCTTTTCCACATTCATGCCTCTCTGTTTTGTTTTGTGACACACTGAGTTTAACCAGGGCTGCCTATGTAAACATGGGTTTAGAACTACCCATGGAGCTTGGTGGGCTCACTAATACCTATACGGCTGAAGACAATGGCTTCCCCTCCCCCAGAATGTATCAACAGTAAATAGCTCAGCAGGGATGGGTAAGGCCAGGGAAGTTTCTTAGATTTCATTTAGAAAATAACTAACTTGGGATTTTTAGACATATTTGAGTTACTTCTGCCTTTTGTTATTATAAACGTAGAGCTCACCGCACTGCTTTGTGCCCGTGTTCAAGCACTGTCCTGTACTAGACACTAAAATAAGGTAACACAGATGTTATGAGTTTTGTTTTTGCTTTTTTTTTAAAGTCTAATTTGAAGCAAGCTTTAATTAAATACTGACCAGGTTGATGGACTCTCTGGCCAGGTCCATCTCTGGTTTCCCAGAAAATGGCTAGGTTTTGGCTTTTTGAAACAGCTCACTGTGTATTCCAGGCTGGCCTGGAATTTACCATGTGGCCCAGATTAGCCTTGAACTCATGAATTTCTTGTTTCTATGTCCTGAGTGCTGGATTACAGGCACGAAATACCAGGCTAACCCCTGCTGAGAAGTTTTCCCATCATGAGTGCTAAGTTTTTGATAAGTGCTGTTTAAGTACCTTTGGATAAGCACTGTCCTTTATTTATTAAGGCAATGAATGATCTGTGTCAGTGGAACTGTTGGGCCTTAATTATATTTAGGAGTTAAACCTGAGTTGATTTTCTATTTTATCCTTTTAATGCCTGCTACATTTGTTTGTTAACACTCAGAATACTGTGTTCCTGAGTGAAGCTGGCCTGGACTCCTCCCGGGTGTCCTCCCTCTATGCTTTCACTCATCCATGAGTTGGACGTATCCCAGCTTCTCCCATGTTTACAAGAGGGAAATGATCTCTTCTGTGAAGGCTGGTGGGCTTATCTACTGGTCCCTTTCAGCCAAACAGTAGATCTTGGCTATCATTTGGATTTTACATCCCATTTTAGTCTATACATGTTTACATTTCTTGAAGTAACTTTGGGCTAGAAGGCTTAGAAATGTAATAAGTTCATCCCTGACCTCAAGCTCTACTATAGAGCTATAGTAATAAAAACAGCTTGATACTGGCATAAAAACTAAAGTATGGACCAATGGAATCGAATTGAAGACCCTGAAATTAATCCATACACATATGAACACCTGATTTTTCACAAAGAAACCAAAACTATACAATGGAAAAAAGAAAATATCTTCAACAGATGGTGCTGGCATAACTGGATGTCAACATGTAAAAGATTGCAAATAGATCCATACCTGTCACCATGCACAAAACTCAAGTCTAAGTGGATCAAAGACCTCAACATAGATCCAGTTACACTGAACTTGATAGAAGAGAAAGTAGGAAGTACTCTTGAACACATTGGCACAGGAGATCACTTCCTAAATATAATACCAGTAGCATAGACACTGAGAGCAACAATTAATAAATGGGACCTCTTGAAACTGAGAAGCGCCAGGAGATGGTGGCGCACTCCTTTAATTCCAGCACTTGGGAGGCAGAGGCAGGCGGATCTCTGTGAGTTCGAGGCCAGGCTGGGCTACAGAGTGAGTTCCAGGACAGGCGTCAAGCTACACAGAGAAACCCTGTCTCGGAAAACCAAAAAAAAGAAAAAAAAAAAAAAAACTGTTCACTGGGGTTGGGAATTTAGCTCAGTGGTAGAGCACTTGCCTAGCAAGCACAAGGCCCTGGGTTCAGTCCTCAGCCCTGAAAAAAAGAAAAAAAAAAAAACCTGAGAAGCTTTTGTAGGGCAAAGGACACGGTCAACAAGACAAAACGACAGCCTACAGAATGGGAAAAGACCTTCACCAACCCCACATCTGACAGAGGACTGATCTCCAAAGTAAATAAAGAACTAAAAAAACTAGACATCAAAATACTGAACAATCCAATTAAAAAATGGGCTAAAGAGCTAAACAGAGAATTCTCAAAAGAAGAATCTCAAATGGCTGAAAGACATTTAAAGAAATCCTCAGCATCCTTAGTCATCAGAGAAATGCAAATCAAAACGACTCTGAGATACCATCTTACACCTGTCAGAATGGCTATGATCAAAAACACCAATGACAGTCAATGTTGGAGAGGATGTGGAGCAAGGGAAACACTCCTCCACTGGTGGTGGAAGTGCAAACTTGTACATTCACTGTGGAAATCAGTATGGCGGTATCTCAGAAAATTGGGAATCAATATACCTCAAGACCCAGCCATACCACTCTTGGGCATATACCCAAGGAACACTCAATCATACCACAAGGACACATGCTCAACTATGTTCATAGCAGCATTATTTGTAATAGCCAGAACCTGGAAACAACCTAGATGCCTGTCAACTGAAGAATGGATTAAGAAAATGTGGTTCATATACACAATGGAGTAACATACAGCAGAGAAAAACAATGACATCATGAAATTTGCAGGCAAATGGATGGAACTAGAAAATATCATCCTGAGTGAGTTAACACAGACTCAGAAGGACAAATATGGTATGTACTCACTCATAAGTGGATACTAGATATAAAGCAAAGGACAAGCAGACTGCAACCCACAGATCCAGGGAGGCTACCTAGCAGGGGGGACCCTAGGATGACTGTGGCTTATAATAAGTTTTGGTTTTGCCCAATCACTGGGCAAGCTTTAGTGAAACATTTCACTGTTAGGATAAGAATATGTACTGTATCAAGCTGATGAAAGAATATGCTGGTTGTACTTTCAGGAGGGGAGGCTAAAATCTTTTTAGATTATGGATTAGCCTATAGAAAATGTCTGCCATAAATCAAACAGTGAAGGGGAAGATGAATAGGAATCTCACTTACACAACTTAAGTAAAACATAGCTCTCTGAACAGATGAAGATATGTTTCTTCTATATTCCAGAATCTAATCAATATTTATATATATAATTCAGCTTAAAAGGGCTTATTGGGAAATGTTATCATTTTTACTATTTTCTACAGAGAAAATATTTTCCAGTTTCAAATAACCCTGTACTTTTGAATTATAACCTATTTTTATGTTAAAAAAAAGTCTGTATGATATACTGGTTTTGTGTGTTTTCTGTCTACCTCCTACAATAAGAGAAGCATTTTTTAAAGTTTATTTTGTTCAGTGATAGGATTCTCAAATATGTAGAACAGTGCTTTGTACAAGGTTGGACCTTGTATTTATTTGTTCAATAAATAAATTAAGACACTTTAAAATAAAAAAATTAAAAAAAAAGAAATGTGGTAAGTTAGCTTAAAGAAAACAAAGGAATGTGACATTTGTTTCGAGACACTCTCACAGAGCTGGCTTCAAAATTCATACTCTTGTCTCAGCCTCAATATATGATACCTGTATTACGGGTGTGCCATTTCTTATATTTCACACACCTGAGTCCAGAGTGGAACCTACACCTATCACATAGGGTAGCTAATCTGGGATTGCCAAGGAGTACCATTTCTGTTTTCTAGGCAGGGTCTTGCTATTTAGCCCAGGCTCATCTAAAATTCGGCATTCTCCAGCCTCTGCCTCATAAGTATTGGGGTTACAGGTGTACACATAATGCCTAGCTCCACTGAGTGTTTTTTACGGCCATCCATCTTGTAGCATTTTTTTCTTTTTCATTTTATTTTTTGTGTGAGTGTTTTCCCTGCATGTATTTATGTGCACCATGTGTGTGCTTGGAACCCACAGAGGTCAGAAGGGGGCATCATTCCTCTTGGAACTGAAATTATGGGTGGTTGTGAGCCACAATGTGGGTGCTGGGACTCAAAACCAGGTCCTCTGCAAGAACAACATGTGCTCTTAACCCCTGAGCCACTTCTCCAGCCCACCCTACTGGAGCTTCTGTCAAATTGACACAGCCTAGAATCACCTGGAGAGAAAAGCTTATGAGTAATAATTTAGATCAGGTTGGCTTCTAGGTATGTCTAGGGGTGTG